TCAGAAATGTCATTAAACTATCATGCCCATTGCGCCCAAACTAAGAAAGGACTCCGCCATAAATGAACACAATATAAAACATTTAGAAAATTTCACAATCAGATCTTGAAACAGTAACTGCAAATGTCGAGTTCAATATGCGGAATGTCACAGGAACCAAAGTCATAAGAGGTTCAAAGCATTTGAAACATCATATGCTTTCATAGACACGAGAATATTCTTAGAATCTACAATAAACAAGTTACTGAATGTTTATCATCCTCACTATTATCAATGATAAAACTATCCTCTTCTATCTATCATAAGCTGGAAGGAAACATCAAATCAGGACAAAAAATAATTAAAAAAAAAAAACTGGAAGGAAACATGTTTTTTCAACCTACAAGAGATCAGGTGGGAACTATAGAAACACCACCACCTTAGAGCTGCGAACCTTATTCTCATATCATTGAGGTTATCGTGACAGTACAATAATGCAAATGATCTTTATATTATATGAGTGTGCAGGCTATGGGTGATTGGAAAATCATTGTGGATCTGAATCTGCTACATCCATCGGCTAATGAGAGAATATAAGTAGCAATGACATTCAAATGTTCCCTAATTTGTGTCTCACAACTAATTAACTCTTACAGTTGAGTATAAAGAAGCAAACTATCAACCAAGGCAAATATAAATCGAACAAGAACTTCAATTAATACAAAAGAGCACAACAAATCTGAACTTCATAATGAAAAAAAACTGCAAAAACAAGCTGATTACCGCCATAGTTAAGACCACGGCAGATCAAGAAACATGAAATGATCATTAACGAATTTGAATTAAAGTTGAACTTAATCCAATCAATGCAACAGCAATTCGCAGCCGTTAGAAAATCATTGCAGATTTAAGCTGAGAAGGATTGCTAAGCTAAAAGAACCGATTTAAAAACACGAAATGGTCATTAACGAATTTGATTTTAAGTTAATCTTAGCTCAATCCATGCAACATCAATTCGTAGCCGACTTAAAGGATTGCAGATCTAAGCTAAGTATGATTACTAAACCAAAAGAACAGATCAAATCCATCCAAAGAGGTCAACAAATCAAGCGATTCAATAACAACTAAATAAATTACAACTACTAACCGCCGCCACTCGCGTAGAAGGAATCCTTCCTCAGGTGCCATCTCAGTAGGAGGAGGAAGCACCGGTCCATCAGAAGCGAAAACGTCATCGTTTGCACCACCAAACCCATTCATTCCGTCTCCGTTTCCGTTTTCCACATGAATCGTAGTTCCGAAAGGAGATTGCGAGTAAGCAGGGGACGGATCGGAAGACCCGAAGTCAAAGATCTCAGGAGAAGAAGCCAAATGATTCACCGCCACGTCACCTCCTTCCGCCGGAAACTGCTGATTGTCGGTAAAGTTCGAGTAAGATCCGTAATTGGAGTAGCTCTCGTCGTCAACTTCGAAAGGACGGTTATTTGGTGCAGAATCTGCTGCCGCATGAATCTCTTCTCCTTCCATCCCGTACGCATCAAAGGAATCCATCTTTCTCTGAATCTCTGTAAAGAAGGTTAGAGAAAACGAATGGAAATGAATTTTCTTAGCTTACAACAGAGAGAGAGAGAGAGAGAGAGCGCTTTCCTCCTTTTTTTTAAACATTTATTTTGATTTTTTTGACGTTTAATACTAAACGTTGACGGCCGACGGAACGGGACGGGACTTGATTTTGGCAAGAAAAAAAATACACGAAATTACATGTTAATCCTAAAGTTGAAAGACAGTTAAATTCATTAAAGCAGTTTAATATCATTTAACAAAGTCTCAAATTTAAATTATTATATATCTAAAAAATTTCCTATGAACAACCGGAGGTCAAATTAAACTACGCTGTTTTCGGTTTCTTTGGTGGCCGTGCGCTTTCACTTCAGGAATAAAGTTGGCTTCATGCCTAATTTATTTATTAGTTAGTGCTAAGTTGGTTGTCATTATCAAAATTTTATTCAAAATGAAAATCATTAAAAATGCGGTTAGTGAAATTTTTTACTAATCAACGAGTAAGATACTATTAAAATTTTCAATTATTTCTGGGTTCAAAATTAGTATTTTTTTGAGATTAAGTTGATTTTATCTGAGGGTTCATTTCTTTTTATTTAACGGAAGATTATAGTTCAAAATTATTAAAGATAAAACTTTGATTTCAAATTCAAAATTTTGAATATAGAAAATAATGAAAGAGAGAATCTTGGGATATTTATAAAGTGAGAAAAATCGAGTTTAAATTTGAGTTATCCTTCTTATTAAATGACACTAATAATTAATAAATGAATAGAACTAAATCTATAAATAGATTGATGTACATTATTTTAAGATTTACTATGTCAATTCATTATCGTAAATCTTTTTCGAATTTTAAAACAAAAATAAAAATGCAAAACCAGCATCAGTAGATGAAGCAGCTGACACATAAGAAAAGCCAAATTCATGATGAACTCGGCGAACTAAGCGATTTTCATAAATTTCAACTACGGTTTCTAAGAGTACTTTTCTCACGTTCTGACGGATATATACAGCAAGCAAACCAGTTAGTTGGGGGCTCTAGACTCTATGGTTAAGGAAAACAATACTGCCTATAATTCCACAAAATTTCACCATGAATTAGGGCATCTTGCTTTGCCACCTTGTCTGAACCGAACGGATGTCCATCCCCAGGAAGGATAACACGGTGAATACAAGTATCCTTAGATCACTTGGAGATGATTCATGTCATGGGATCTCATCTGTCGGGCTTCAGACATGTGAAGCAAGGAACAATAGAAGTTAACAATCAACTTTGGGATGCAGGTCTCATCCTCCGTCACCCGTCGTCCATATTGTGTACCGTACAGATGTCACAACAACTGCTACACTATAAAATGAGAAGAAAACATTCTTGTGATATCTACCGAAAGAAGTCATCCACCGTAGACCCCGTGAAAAATCTGGCTTTAAGCATTTACTTTGCATATCTTGCAATGACCTTGTCCGATGTAACAAAATGATACAACAAATAAGAAAACTTAAATGAATGAAGCAACTACGTTTTTTCCATGAAGATCGTATACCTTGAAGAACTCTGACGCTTCTGAGTAAATTGACCGTCGAGCATTGATCTTAGATTTTCAAGGGCCTTTTCAGCTGCTTAAGGGAGGATAAACGATCCCCGTCAGAAAAAAAATATTATCATGTAAAATACTGTCAAAAATGAAAATTTTAAATGCAAATAGAACGGTATACCTGCATCTTAGCCTCTTCCCATGTGAACCCGATACCTTTCCCTAAAAACTGCCCATCTACTTCAACCTAAACCATAAACCAGAATACACAAACTATTGAAATCATAATGAAGAGTAACTAAATATTATTAAAAAATCATAATTGCTTCTACATCTAAAATTTTGTTATTGCCACAATAAGTAATTTATATGAATAGGGTTCCCCAATGAATTCAACGAAATGAACTGTTCTTGGATAGACCTTAAAGAATGAACGAGTTGTCAAGTGTTAACCTGTACATATGCATCATCTCTTTGCAGTGTATTTGATGCAGATGGAGACTCTGCTAGAAAAATACTCCATCATGCACTGTAGACTAGGGATGGCAACGGGCCGGGTTCGGGCCGGGTATTGGTCCCCCGTCCCCGTTTAAAAAACTCGTACCCGTCTCCGCTTAAAAAACCACGGGGATTTAAACGGGGATCCGGGTAATCGGGAAAAACCGCGGGGAAACGGGTATCCCCGTTTAGCATAAACGGTTATTTAAACGGGTATCGGACCGGGTATCGGGCCGGGTATATATATTTAAATTAAATATATAAATATTATATATATATTTTTAATTTAAATTAAATTTATTAATATTATATATATAAATTAATTATTTTTAATATTTATCGGGCCGGGTAATCGGGTAATCGGGGCGGGAATTACTAAATCCGTCCCGTCCCCATTTAACATAAACGGTTTTTTATCGTCTCTATCTCCGTTTAATTCGGTTTTCGATTTTCTCCGTCGGGTTCGAATTTTTTTGTCATCCCTATGATAGACAAACCGCATATTATCAGTCCAACCTAAAGACTACATTGCCGCAAGTAGTAACAAAATTTGAAGACAAAAAAAACTAACAAGATCATGAGATCTTAGGGGACATTTGGATCAAAAGGGTAATAATCTTTTCAACAATCACATTATTACGTTTAGTTCAGAAGTATTCCCACCAAGAGGTAATAAAACATTACCTACCGTGATTTTTTTACATTGTATTTCCGGGAATCCCATTCCCTTATTTTGTTAGGTATTAGACAATTTTCTTCCCTTTAAACAATAATATCCTTGAAATAATATAATTATTTCAAAATAATTATCCTTTTTGTATATAATTACACAAGTGTAAATTTATTTTATTTATTTTTTAATGATTTAGGACTTTTTTAATACTCATTATAAAATAATAGGATGCATATAAAATAAAAAGTTAAATAAAAATATATCAACATTTTATTTTATTTTGATAATTTTTACATATGTGTTCTATTCAAATTTTATTTTTTGTATATGTATTATTACATGTATTATTTAGGATTAATTTTCATAAAAGGATTTTATATTATATTTTTTAATATTTTCTATTAATTTTGTCATATAATTTGATATGATATTTTATTGTGTAATTCGTACTTGTAGCATAAATAAAAAGTGTAGCAATTAACATATACTTACTTCGGTGTAAGTATGTACATCTCCAAGCCTAAAAATAAACACATATTTACACCGATGTAAGTATGTACATCTCTCATAAAAAATATATATTAAGTTATTTGTGTATAAATTTTATTAAAAAATATTAAAATTAAAATAATAGAAAAATATATTTTCTATGAGCTTTCACGTAAATATTTTAACTTTTATATTGAGAATTAAATTGTTAAAGAAAAATATATCTCCAGGATAATTTAGTAAAGCATACATTTTTTCTATCTTATATTCTTTCAACAGATAATACAATATTCCCAATAATATATTAAGTAATGTCATTCCCAAAAGTAATCTTGCATTCCGTGTACCAAACGGTCATTACTAATTCTTTAGGTACGGTGACCAAACCCATAGATTTCGTGGAGCCTTCCAGCCTCGGATCAAGAAGCCTAGATGGTTCCAGTGCCGTTGAAAATGACAGATTCCTCTTTAGACAATGGCTGGTTCCCATACAAATTCACATTACCAAGAAAACCATTGTCCCGTTGTGCAGACCCAATATCAGGCTTAATACGTGACAAATATGCATCTGTAAGTACAAAATTGGAGAATCAGAATTAGTCCAAAAGAACAATATACGAAGAGAGCCTGAATATGGACAGCAAAAAGGAAACATGCCACAAATCCTTTCCTCTGAGATTAAACAGAAACAAAACCAACTCAACACGGGTTTAATCACAAGTCTCGAAAACAGACAATCTAGTGACGAGTTCTGTGGAAGAAATGTTTTATTCAGCTAGGCGAAGCTGAGCCATCGAGCAATTTTCTTTGTAGATTATTACTACATGTTTATATAACATTAACTATTTTTTTTAATAAAAGGTCAAAGAAAAGTTAAAAGTATCTTTCTCTTATTGCTGAAAGATATACTAATAATTGAAGTAGTTGTCTTTCACTGTCTATCCTCTTTTGTCTCCAGTTTATATCACAAAAGTTCAGCAAATCAGAGATTGAGGAGCAAGATTGCTTTTAGGTTTTTTGCTCTTGTGCATTGATTATTGTAAGCCTAAAAAGCAACTCAACCCGTAACATTCAGTACATACTTGTAGATAAGACTAAAAATAGGAAGAAGTATTACTAGCTCAGCCTTTTATAAAATCCTCTGCAGCCTGACGTTGAGCTTCTCTTCTTTTTCTCCCAATTCTTTCACCAACTTTCTCCCCAGCAAACCAAGCCTACCACAGGCAAGATAGAGGATGAGTCAAAGAGTATGTCTATCAAGTTTTGAAATAACAAATGAAATCAAACCCGAAAATATATTTAAAAATAGATTAATCGTGAACAAAAAGGCCAAAAGCTCATAGAGTGAGAAAGTAAAAACTGCTTTATAAGTGAAAGTGCATATAAACCTCAACGGAGAATTACATGCCCATGCTAGAAACCAAAGTGGGTCTAAATTCTACCTACAAGTTTTAGAAACAAAATTTAGAAGCAATAGGCATATAGTGAAACAAGATGATATTTGTAACATAAACATTACGAGCTAACTCATGGTAGAAATTACTTCCAAATTACCTTGGTTCCACATTTCATTAAAATATCTTGTACAACTCCTGCCGGAGTTTCTCCACTTGGAACAGTTCATCCAGATTCGAAGTCAGGATCCTTGTGACTAGAAGATGATCGACCAAAGGGCATCTCCAAACCTTCAAAATGTAGAACAGTATGCCAAATCAGACAAAAAAAATATAATGCATAGACAAAGCATCCAATGATCATTCAAACTGGAAGAAGAAGAACTAGAAACACGTTATCCCGCTCACAAACTTAGATATCAGACAAGATGTACTTGTGTCTGGAATTTTAAGTAAGATGATACTTCAGATTACAAACAATAACAAGCAAGTTCACATTCATTTCAAGGTGGAATTACTTGTTTCAGCTTACCTGAAAAAAAAAATGATAACTAGACGATGTATGGTTTAACCCCACATCTCTATGAAGTGCATGCAAATGAATTATGCTCTTAGATAACTATGTTTCAGAAACAGGAAATAACTTTAACCTTTCACCACAAAGAACCAATTACCTCTTTTGATAATCTTTGATTTTCACGAAGTCTATCTGATGGAATAACACTCTCAGCCATAGGGAAAAAGGAAGGGAGTCGATGCTTCTCAATATGCATTGGTTCAGAATCTAAATTATGGGAAGAGTACAGGAAAGAGGAAAGATTTTGGCTCCAGAAGTCTAGAGTAGTGTGGATATTGGAGGGTGATCGGAACACCCCTTTTTTCCACTCTTTCGTCTCAGCTAGAAGAAACCAAAACCTTATTGTGTCACTGCAGGGCACCGATGCTACCATGGACGATCCCATAAGGATTAAACAAGCTATACAGTATCACTTCCAACAGGCTTACAATGCTAAATTCATTTTGGAGGTAGAGGATATCAATCTGCCGTTTAAGAAGTCAAGTTCAGGTCAAATGGGAGCGTTGGAGGTTATGTTTTTTGAACAGAAATTCTCCAAGTTCTTAAGAATTCTGATGAGAACCGAGCCCGGGGCCAGATGATTTTAACCTTAATTTTTTAAAGTTCTGGCCAGATTTAAAGGATGTTTGAAGACACCAAATTTCGTCCACTAAAATTATATTATATAATATATTGTTTTCATTTACAATTTATATTATATAATATATATATATTTATTTATTTGGGTTTAATTATATGTGACAGGTCCCACACAAGACCATTTACAAGATCCATTACACGTGGCCCAGTAGTGACCCGATTTGGATTAGGGTTTCCCATCTCAGTTACGCATCCTTTCCTAAGCAAGTTCCCTCGAGCGCCGCATCATCACCCCAACTTCTTCACGCCTCCCACGCGATCGATTTTCATGGCAACAACCACCAAATGAACAAGACAAAAGCAAGTTAGTCCCATGGGACTCGGAAAGAAGCCGAAGATAAGGGAAGCAATTTCAATCTCAACAGGAGTCTAGCACAAACTAAAAATAGGCTTTTTCTCATAGTATAAATTCATATAACCACGCACACAAGCTGGGGGATTGACACAGGAAATATTCAGTCCGATACGAGAGAAAAAAGGGGAGAGTAGGATATAATAGGGAAGAAGAATACCACTGTATTTTCGACAAATAAAGAATCAATAAAGCATTTTTTTCCAATCTCTTTCTTCTGGTACAATTTTGGTTTGCATATTTTCTATAATAGTGAAGATCAACATGTAAAAGCAATAGCTTAGTGAGGGAGAGAAGAACAGAACGTGAAACAAAGAGAAGGGAAGGAGTCTTCCCGTTCGGCCGACGACGGCAATCAGTGGACGGCGGTGACGGATGTCGACAATGAGCGGAGGACCAGGACCAACATCGATCATCGTGGTAGCTCCAGCCCCAGCTTCCGAAAATCAGACCAGTGTAGAGAAAGCTCTCTCTTTCTCACACGATTTGAGAAAGAGAAGGAATGGACCAATTTTTCTTAATTTTGGTTCTCACACTCAACTGAACGTGCCAAACCATTCCAGGGTGTAACCCACTTAATTTGAAGAAGTCTGCGAAAATCATTCTCTCGGTCCTCTAATTTTCTCCATTAATTTGATTTGGTCAATTTTACCATTTTCGTTTATTTAACTTAATTATTCAATTTTATTTTAGACAAGTTTTTTTCTATATTTATCTTAATTTATATTATTTAAAAATTTTAATTTATGTTTAGCCTTTAATCTAACATTTTTCCTTTTATTTATTCTCAGGTTTCTTTCAATCAATATATAAACTTCTCACTTCTCAGTCATATTTAATTGATTTTCGATTTTATTTAGAGGCTAATTATTTGTTTATCGTATTGTCTTTCATATTTGTTTAAGTTGTTGTATTCTTTCATCTTTTAATTCTTTTATCATTGTTTATTATTATATTATCTTTACTTAATATCTTATCTAATTTCTTTGTTTGTTTGCTATTTTTAGGGCCCATATGATATTCCCAACCAATTCAGAGAACAAAATCTCAAAGATAAGGTAAATGAATAGGAAAGCCATTATTCTGGTTCCTATTGCGTGAGATTAAACAAAATATCAAGTGGTTGTAAACTTTGGGTAAAATCTTGCCATGGTCCCTCAATTATTATGAGTTTCTTCTTTTTTCATTTCATTTATCTTACTACTTTTAAAATTTTTAATTTATTTCATTTTCCCTTTGATTTATTTAATGTTTATTTATTATTTATTATTTTTACTTTTTAGGGATTTTTTTAATCAACCACATGTAAATAATTCGAATAGAATGCTTTTAAATTTTAATTTAAATTCTAGTTTTTGCAAATAAAGACAACCGGCAAATTAATTGGTACCGAAAGGGCGGTTCAAGGGTGTTAATCCTTCATTGACCGTAACCGACTCCCGAACCCGACATAACTCTAGTAAAACGTAGATCAGATCAGATGGTGTCCGATCTACCTAAAATTCATTTTAAAACGATCGGTGGCGACTCTAACCCAATTCATTCACGTCAAAGCCCAATTCCGGGGCCCGCCCGAAAGACGGTTCCGACAGCTTGGCGACTCTGCTGGGGACAGGTAAGTGAGTCAAGCCAGAATTAATTTTCGGTTGTCTTTTATACAAAAATAGTAAATTTTAATTTTAATTTATTTATTCGATTCTAATTATTTACCTTTGATTATTTTTCAAATAAATAGTCGTACTGACATTTTTTCAATGATTTCAGATTTTTGAAAAAGTTTTCATCTCTGACTCTATACCCGAGCTCTGAACCCTTTTAAGTGGGGGTGAAAGCGACGCCTTCGTTTGAATTTATTCATCGTGCGGGCCTAGCAAGTAGCTTCGGGATTCATATACCTTATGTCTTCGTGTGAATTTATTCACCATGCGGGCATAAGGGAATGTTTCCCCTCGAGTTGAACTTAGTCCACACAAGCTTGTAATAGGCTTAGGACTAAGGGTCTGGCAAGCCCAAGGGGGCACCAGCAAGGAGAACTCGAGTACCTTTTTAGAACATAAACTGGGAGATTATGGAGAATTAGAGTCCACCCCAAAACCTCATTTCAAACCCTAGGCTGTTTTTATTTCCTGCTTTACTTTCTGTTCAAAGCATGCGAACTAGACAAATATGAGGTTAGGATTTGTTTGAAGTTAGCATGCGGGATAGAGATCATGTCCGGGTAAGAACAATAAGCATGTGAGGTAGATATCATGTGGGGTAGAACTTTTATTTTCATGATTGTTTTTATTATTTTTACCTCACTAACTCTTTTCATTTATGTTTTCTTTCATTTCATTTTCATCATTTGCATCATTAAAAAGAGGCGTTGATCCACTAAAACATGTTCGTTAAACCAAAATAATTTGCATTAATGGACAAAGGGGTTGTAATACAAGAGGTAAAAAATGCAGAGGTCCGGCTATGGTCAGGAGACAATCTGTAGGACAATTCAACCAAAGAGACGTGGTACCCGCAATCGAAGAATATGTCACTTTGCTACATTGTAAAGGAGTCCGAATGGACCAGAATTTACACCGAACAAACAAAGTCAATTTTTTGAGTTGGCACAGGTTGCAGGGGCAAGACGAGAAAAATGTTACTAACCTCGAGAGTACATTCAAAGACAACAAGAACAAGATGGCAAAACGATAGCTGAATTGGAAGTCATTGTCGACAAATTCATGAAACAAGCAAATGAACTTCAGATAATCCCTTTGATGGAGGATTTCAATGGAGTTTCCGATTCAGCAAAAGGATGAAAGCTAGAGATGCAGTCATTCGATACTTTTGGGAACATGTACAAAAAATAGCTCGTCACTTGCACGGTTTAGTCAGAGAAGCCGGAGCGGTTCGACAGGGTATTCGATCGGTGACAGACGAATGTAGAAGACTAGTCAACTTGTTTCAGGGTCTAGAGGATTTAGTCCAGATGTACCTTTAAATATGTTTATTGTCTCTTGAAATATAAAACACTTTTGTCCCAATAAAGATTATTTATAATAACAGACATGTTTTTGGATCAATGCCTCGAATATTTCATGCATTTTTGCATTTTGCATCTACATTTCATTTTTAAGCATTTTCATAAACATGAAATTTCTTCATGGAGGATTCGATGAAGTGGTTTTAACCACATGACACCACAAAGAAGCAAGATTGTAACATCAAAAGAAAAAACTGAAATCAGTACAGTGAGAGCTGGATCAACTGATTGTAGGACAAAGCCTGCCAGGATGATCTAAGAAAAGAATTCCCATATCCTAAGGGCTACGATGTTGAAGCTGTTAGCTGTTACCATATAAGAAGCCCCAAACATTCCTCTGAAAACTGTAAGGCGCTTGCCGAAAAAGGGGGCATGACATATACCATTTGCACTTAGAGGATTGCTTTTGATCTTTCATGTTTGCTTAATCTTTTAAACGATTGAATTTATGCTACTTTTTAAGGTGGAGCAATTGAACAAATTTTAATCTTTAGTTCTTTGAATATTAAATGAATTAAGGATTCTTTTAATTCTTCAAGAATTATAGATTTTTGACATGTGGCAAGATTAGACCTTTCTTATCCTGTCTCAAACCCCAAAATAAAATACCTTGATTCTTTACCCAAAATAACTCATGGTCATTACCAAAAAGACCAAATTTTGACATAACATCCCTTTGAAATTTTTTAACATTGCCTTTTATCTTTTTGATACACCCATACCTTTCTTTGAGTCAAATAAAGTCACGCCATTGTCTTTTTAGACTCAAAATTGACATTTTAATACCATTAAAACCCAAGGCATTGAACATGAACATTCTTCTAAAGACACAACTTGGGGCATCTCGCAGGGAGCCTGAACATTGAGACATGTTGGGAGAAAAAAAAGAAGAAAGAAGAATTCATTCGAAATAATTCATGCGTTAATTACATTGTTTTCATGTGAATATGATTAATCCTGCAAATCTATCCCCCTGGGGATACCTCTTCTGTGAAGATTTACATGTATGAAATGATGAACGGTTTTCTTTCTTTACCCCTTCACAACAGGAGAAAATATATATCCCTTGTGTCCCCTTTTGAGCCTATAGTATTTTTCTTCTGATTCAACCCTAACCAAGGATCACCCTCCACACTGGGGGGCAAGGTGGAGAAAATCTGCTCGCATGAGTGAAGACATTGATTCAGATGAGATACCGAAAGGTGAACCAAATTCCAAGTGCGAAGATTCAATCAAGAACAAAAAGAGAAAAAAGCAAAGAGAAAATAAAAAGAGAAAAAAAC